TTTGTTTGGAAATCTGATATAGACATTTCCAAAAACATACATTATTTTCTACCTAAGAAAATATACATAAGACCCAGTTTCTACGAAAACAACTGTACGTGTTCATGTTCGAGATTGACTAAGAGACGTTGCCGAATTAGTTTGTAAGACTTCTTCATTTCTAACCACATTTGCCCGACAGAAATCTCGCAAAAATAACAGAACTGAATTTATTGTTGAAATTGATTGAGTTTGAGATTTCGCAAAAAAAATGGTTTATATCACTCATTTTATGTAAAAAAAAACGTATAACTTAAGTGCGTACATAGGTGGACAAGATTTTAGTATATAGCCTTTTCAGAATGCTACTCATTTCCGTTTATTTGTTTTTACAAACAGTACAGCGGGTTGTAAGAATCGCACAAAAAAATAGACGCTATTTTATTAAATATTTCATTTTCTATACTGGTTACTTGCAACTGTAATGCACGTGCACGATCTGGTTCCAGTGCTGTCTGATTGTGAAGCAGTTTTCTTAACATAGCTATACTAAATAACACAATCACGATATTAACTTATGACTTTCACTTAAAAACCAATTTTATTATGAAATAATAAAACTCTGGTTTACCTTCAATCTCAGGAATTCCTCTATTAATTGGACAAGTTCATATTGAAATTTTGGATTGCTGACAAGTAACCAGGTTTTCATACACGAAGCGTCACAAACAAACATTCGAATAAAGCCTCTCATATATTTAAATGCTAAATTATATACTAAGTGCTTTACTCTTGTGGTCTTTAGATAACTCTAAATATATAATTGCTACATTAGTTTACAATATTAGTTATTATTGTTTTTAATAATATATTACACCTAAACCAATGAAGTTTTGTTAAGAGAAATGAAAGTTTCTATGCTAAATCACAAGGTTCGATAGCTAAATAGAGCCGGCTTACCAAATAATCCGTCTTTTGCAGCGTAACGGTCGTAATTTATAATTTTGACGAAAATGAATTGTTTACATGGCAACACAGAAAATGAAATTTTGAATTAACCACGTAAAGAACCTTTTTGCCGCCAGAATTGTAAGTTACGTCGTATTAATGTAAAAAGAGACTATAGTTTAATCCCATTTCACAATTGTGACTAAATTTATACTGGGGCTTAGTCGAACTATGACATGTTTAAAATGCACCTCCACTGACGAAATTCAGCTTCATTAAAGTAAACTTTAATGTATCATTACAAGGGCACCCGACATTCATTTATTTGTCAGACGAAATTCAATTTCATTACAAGTGCACCCGACAT